GATACAATTTCAAGCACGGGGTTTCTTCTCTATGGAATTTTCATGGCAATTATACATTTTTTTCTTTTCAGAACTAAAAACTTAATTAAACATTGAATAATTATTTATAAATCTTTTGTCAAGGCCTATTGCTTTGATTGTTGATAATACAATTGAACCAAATAACAATGCCTATAAAAAATCTTAACGCGCATTTTGACGGCACCATTTAAAACGCCTGCCATTCAACGCAAACCCTATGCGGGCCGGGGTCGAAGCACTATAAAGCCAAGCTTTATACGTTGGTCGTCTGGAATCCATCTTGAAAATTTCGGATGGACTAGCTTCGCGAACGACCAGGAAGTATATACGGATACACATACCCAGAGCGACTCGATGAAACGGAAGACACTGCTCGAGCGTCTTTGCGCGTGCGGCACTTGAGATTAAGCCTCGTAAAATTATAAAGTTGGCGAGTAACAGGCTAAAGCTGTCATGCCATTCGCACGTATGTAATGTAAGAGCCTTGCGTGCGATGGCAAATTGTTTTACGAGCAATGACGACATGGACGCGGAGTAATCTAATGCTTATCCTTATTTTGGTGTTATGGTGGCCGCGATTTCATGTGCGGACCATAGTTGCTGCTATATGTGACGACTTTCACGTTGCGCGCTAATGAAAATCTCGAACCACAATATCGCTAATCTTTTTGGCGCATTCACGAGATGCGGGCTCGAGAGTAAAGTAAATTATGTTACTTGGTGTAGTTACTAGAAGCTTGGGAGAAGGGTTGACTTTCGTGAGTGGAAATGTACGGGCGATTTTTTTGTACGAAATAGATGTCAGTGCTGAAATGTTATTACTTGTCCCATCTAGGCGCAAATGTATGTTTGAAGAGACTTTGATATTTTCGATATAAGGTTATCGACTGAACAACCTTTGCGACTCGCAAGGTTAAAAAACGAAAAGATTGACGAACAATTGGAAGTAGAATTACCGTATTAAATATGTAAGAGTTTTCGAGAGTTTTGGCGAACAGGATAAGGCGAGTGCGGCGAGCTTATCGCTCACACGCCACGTCATGAACTCATCGCGCGTTCTCGTCATTAGTAAGCAAACCTCACCCTCTCTCTTAAGCTTACCCCTTTTGTGCGCCTGATTGCGTCGCTGACATTGGGATTTATGCCCGCCAAGATTGAGTGCAAATTGTGGAGGGGAGTTTTCTTTCGCGCCTTTTACTTTTCTCCATTCGGTGCTTTTGTCAAGCCATCAATTTTTTCATTGCGCTTGCATGGAATGCTAAAAAGGTCTAATGTATTTATTTGAAATTATTGCGATGCGCGAAAATGTTTGTCATTTGTTTCTTTACAAATTTATCGTTAGTGTTAATGACTTCGGCGATATTAGTAATCATAGATGTACGAAGAAAATGCATTATATTTAGTAAGAAGGTTGAGTGATTCGATTCCGTGAAGATGTTTTCTCAGAGGCAATATTATTTTAATCGATACGAACCTCATCCATTGCTTAAACTTGTTGATGTGTTCGATAAAGAGGTTAGTTTAATTTTATTTATATTAATTTCGTATTAACTTTCTCTGACTACAAAATTTTATCACTACTTTCACCGTTAATTTTGATTATTTATCTCAAACTAACCGAAATATATTGTATGATACTAATAAATGAACGTTGCAGTCATTCATTCGTGCGTATATCTTTGACAACATCTACGTGTGTATTTTCATGTACATACTCTTTTATTTCGCTACTTGGTACGCTCACAAGGTAAGCGATTTGAACGGTATGATTTCCACTTCAGTCGTTTATTCATGTACTTTTGTCTTGAACTGATTGCGTGCTTTCAGGTTATCATCCGAATAGAGATGAAAAACGAAGAAATGCGAGCGATCGTGGAAAAAAATAGATCGGTAAGTTTACACGTAGTTTACTTGGTGATTATTCATTTGTATGGAATTCGATCCACGGTAATATTTTCATATAGAGATTAGATGATATCGTCGCCCTGAAAGACAAACGTGCAGAATATGAAGACGTAATCATTAAAACGGTCGGTAGAAAAAAATTACAATGAACTTTCTTCTCGTTATCTTTGATAGTTATAATATACATGTTTATTTTAGAAAGGAACACAAAAGACCACTACGAAACAGTTGAATAACGAGGTGAATTTAATTGTTAATTTTATAGTTAAAGCGATTAATAATAATCTGCACATTTATATTTATATAAAATGTTGATAGATAAAGAAGTTAAATTTGGAGCACGACTGTACAGTACAAAAACTGAATGATCTTAAGAAATTTTTAGAAAAGGTAAATACATACGAGTACGCGACAACAACTTTTCAATAGATTTTATTCAAGATTATTTTATTATTTAAATTCATTTTCATATAAATTTCAGTGGAAACTACGAAAAAGTGTCAGTAATGTAGGACAAAAAATGTGCTTCAGAGGAGGATCTCCTAATGAATTTGAAAATTCGGATAATCAATTTGAAGATGTAAAGGTACTACTCGTACTCCATAGAGATAGGATATAAAGAAATCTTATGCATATTTGCAGGCTTTAGAACCAAAGTAGTATTATCATACTCTAGTTATTTGTTTACTAGAAGTTTTTCATTTTATGTTTGAAAGATCGTTTGTTTTTAAACTTCATTATTTGATATTCGATAAGAACATGTTTCGTACAAACTAGCTGCGTATCATACGACTGTTTATAAGGTAAGTATATGAAGGTGACTCACGGAACTCCAAACATGAAAGTCTTACATACATCCCATAAGAAACTAAGTCATCCCATCAAAGTTGGAAACGGTATTTCCATCAATTAGCCGTAGGAATAATTACCGCAAGTGCTTGAAGGAGCGAGCTTATACATACAGTTGCTCGGTGGTGCGTTTAAAGGTGCTCGAGCCTTCGTTCCCGCCGTTGGAGCCGCCGGAGCCACCGCCACGCAAGTTCGGGGTCTTTGCGCGACCGCCTGCGCCTTGTACTACATCCCCGAAAATCGGATTCAAGTAACCAAGTCTCAAGGAAACTTGCTATCGAGGTATACATGCTGCGTCTTAACCACGAGATACCGGTAGTTCGGCTTTGCCTCATTAGCTGATTAAATGTCACGTGTTTTATGCGTTTCCTTTGTTCAATTTCATCAAATGCTCTCTGTGGAGTTTCCTTCACGTTGTATAGCAGATTATAAATTTGATAATTTTTGACAGCTCCAAAGTCATTTCCTATTATTTTCTTGATATTTTATTGAATTAAAATGACTATTATTTGAACAACCTTCATGTGAAATTCAATTTATCCGATTCCGCTGTTCAAGAAATTTTCACGGTAATGCCCTTTTAATCTAATTTATTGCAATTAGAAACTTGTTATAAACAAACTATGAAATTTTAATAACGTCAATGTAAAATTAGAAATTTAAATCGATCAAGGTTGAAGAAATCGAAAGTACTTGCTATGATGTAATGCCTATTCGGATATTCATTATGTAATTCGTTCTGAAATTTTTCTAGTAACTGGGATAATATTTGAGTTCTAATGTTACCTGTCAAGCTGAAAAATCTAATGTTATACTCGAGGCTAGATGATTATAGTGCATTAATTATCCAGTATTCGGTTTAGATACCTATTTTTTCTGTTATCTTTGAAATTTCCGTTTCTGTAACTTTGTTAAATTAGTGACGTAATATCCAATCTAGTTTGTGCAAGCGTGGAAGATAAAATTAAAGATATATAAGCTCCCTGATCAATTATAGTTTTATTTCATAGCAATCGCGCTGCTTTGAAAGATTTGAATTTTTTAGTGCATCAAATTTTCGCAGTACAAATAGATGTAATCTCGACAGTTCTTATCTGTAATACATTAAGAAGTAATGCATATGGAAAAACCCTAATAAAACTATAATCCATTGATAAAAGAAACTTATTACCGTAGTTATACAACGAAAAAGTTCGACTACTCATTGCAAAGTCGACTTTCATCAAAACATCAATCGTGAACCGCGCGACATTGTGAGTTGAATTTCATCGAGACCTTTCACTCTAGTCTCGCTCTGTCAATCAGCTGTTTCTTCACCAAATTACAAGTTTTGCAAAAAGAAACGAAGAGAAACAACAAAGTGAAAAACATTTTTTCCTGACAATCACTGCGTACTGTATATTCACATATATATAGATACGTGGATGCGGATGATGACCCCGAGAGTTTCTCGATCATACTTTGCGGCTATCCAAGGCGAACTAGTGCTCGCAATCTCGGATACACTGCTGGATATAAAAAAATGATAACAAGTTCTCTCTCTCTCTCTCTCTCTCTCTCTCTCTCTCTCACTCTCTCTCTCTCCCTCCCTCTCTCTCTCTAGTACGTTGTACCCAGAAAAAGACACGAGTAAACGAGTTTTTCGGATGCAAAAAAAGTTTTTCCAGCTTGATGTGAAAAGCGCCATGAAAGCTTGCAGATTTATTTATGAGGTGGAAATATCCAGCGAGATTAATATATATTTTTAATCTCGACCTTTCCATCACTCCATTTTCTTGTTCCTTGTGGTGAATCTTATTCGTACACTGACAATAAAATCTAAGAAATTGCAGTACAAAGTGACTGTGGTCAATTGATCAGCGTTTCATAAGTGATCGACAAAAAACGATTAAAATAATAAATAAACAATATAAAAATAAATTAAGAACTTTTAATAGACACAGGAATAAAAAACAGCGCCATATACATAAACAAAACGTGCTCATAGAGAAACCGCGCCGCGAGTTGTCCGTCAACGCAATTTTATACGAAGAAATTAGAATGCCAAGCATGTGAAGTCGAGCCACTGAAATTCGCACGCACTTTACAAACAATCCTCGGCTCGAGTTAAAGGTATGTTCGAGAATACGCACAGTAGTCGGTCGTGTAGGCTTGAGTAAGCGCGTTGCGAGTAAGTGAGCGAGCGAACGCTGAACCTATAGTCGGCGAACGGCTGCGAAGTAACTTTCACTGGAGTCAAGCAAGCAGGGAGCGAAGGCGGCCTTAGGAGCACGAGGAGGCCCCGTCGAGTCACTCGCCGCTGTTCCACGAGTCGAGAGGCAAGCTGTTTGCCGCGCTAAGGCAGCACTCCGTTTTTTTTTTAATCGAGATCGTAAGTGCACTTATTGAATAATATCAGTGCGACGGTGTCTTATAGTTGTATTGCTGATCCCTATTTTGCGTTTCAATTATTTTTCGAGTTGTGTCTAAGTGTAACGGTTGAGTGGCGAATAAAAATTTTTAATTACGAATTATAGATAGAAAAACATACAGCATCGATCAAATAATACAGTTTCAAAGTGCGCGTTACTATTTCTTTGAATATTTATGTCTAATGAAATTATTCGCGACTTATACGATGCTCACCACAGTGCAAAGCATTTCGAGTATTGCATTGACAATCAGTTTAATTTTAACATAAGTTGAATGTTATGGCAGCTCTTACTGGTTATTTCTGCGTGGAAAATACCAACGAACCGCGCGCGCAAGTGCAAGCATTGAAAGTAAAAGTCATTTATAAAGAGCTCTGCACTCTTACTTTCAAACGTCTTTCGTGATATTACGGAAATCGGTACGCGATGTTTTTCACTCAAATTTGAAAAGTACGACAATGGAATTCTTTCGTTTCGAATTTTTTTCTCGTCTAGAGTATATTTAGCTCGGGTAGTTTTATCAAATAATTATGGAAAATCGTTTGTTTAACCGACAACAGTCTTCCATGACGTACTATGAGCCTGTTATGTTAATTAGTTGTCATGTAGAAATTTAATATTAGTGAAATTAAATCGTAGACTATATTTGAACATTTTTACCTATCAAATCTATAATATGTATCTGTTACCAATCTCGCTTTTCAAAAATCAGAGTACTAGGAACAATAAGCCAACGGGAATATTTGGACGTGTATCAAACGTAAACAAACGAAATCGACCCCCAAAAAAGTTCTAATTAATTTTATATGTCGAGTCCCCCGCCAATAATAAGAAGTTTCTCGTATTAATGCATGACATGAATGATATGTCGAGCAGATACCGTGTCCACACTAGCACATTTCCGAGGTTGTCTGAAGAAAGTGGAAGTAACAAAGAGAGTGAGTGCGCAGCAGCAACAGCAACTAAGAAAACGGGCGTCGCTTACAGCGGCATTCCAGACTTTTGCGAAGGTTAATTGCAAAGATTCTATTTTGTACAATCAGTACTTTTACTTTCGTGCGTGATCAAATTTCCAATATAAACCGGATACTTGTTTTTTTTTTTATTTCAATGACATTGTGTATAATATATATTGCGTGTTTTAAGCGACCTTGCTGTTGTTTCCTGTAATTCAATGAGAGATGATCTTTTTCATGCCGAAAATTGAAAATTGTTGTATTATTAATTGTTGTATTATGTTTAATGATTTGATTATATAAACAATCGCTTACGATAGCATGTAAATGTATATTTTTAATTTCATCTAATAATAATTATTGCATATAGTTAAAGTTACTGATTTTACGCAGTTACATTTTGACTTGATTGCAAATTTCTCGAGTGACATTAATGCACACAAAGCTGCAGTAGAATTTCTTTTTTATCTCAACTGTCTGACATAAATACACGACTACAGTTCGTTCTTGAACCAAATAAATCAAGTTTTCTATTGTTTTCAATTCTGTTTGTATGGAAATGAAAGTTGATTAAAAAAATTTATAAACAAAGTTTATATATAGAAAACATGTGTCGAGTTCTGCACCTGAAATTTCGCATTTTTGTATACATACATAAATCGAGATACTTTCCCTACTCGAAAATTCGATGAAAAAAAGAAAGACCGATTTCACAATTGATCAAAATAAATTCAAATTGATTATTCCAACGTAAATTTTTAGATACAAAAGTTCAAACACAATAATGTTGGATACTAGTACAGTGAGACTAGTAATCTTTGTCGGTGTGGTATTTGCATTTGCCGGTGACCATATTGCCCTAATACAATCCTTATGGGGAGGCGGAAATGAGGATAGAAATCAAACGGACAGTTTGAGAAGGTTACCTGAAGGACTATCGAAGGACGGATTAAATTTTGAGCGCATGGTCTTTGCTACTTCGAAAAAAAATCTGCAAGAGGAAAATGGTAAGTTTTTTGATCGATTAGTATTCTGAACGACGTAAACTATTGAGATTTTGTTGTCAAGGCATAGAAGACTTATAGCAATAAAGGATGACTTTGACGTTGTTGCGTTTGGTACCAAAATTTATTTATTTGCTTTTCTAAATTCGTTATTTACCCTGTTATTTCACTGAATTGATATCGTTGGTTGACAGCTTTATCTTAAAATTCGTAAATTATTATTTTATTACATACACAATATCTTTGAAACATAGCCTGTTTCTATTTTCTTATCATTGAAAAATTCTTCTCATGATCGTTCGTCCAACTGGCGTACGTTTCAATATTTGAAAAATTATAGCAACATGTTTAACATTCGCGATATTGGATGGAAACGAACAATAGTGTATCTCCTTAAGAGCTCGTACATAGCACTTTGCAAGGCTAATGCGCATAAGCTCATTTTTTACGTGAAATTTTCTGCTATTATACAATCCATTGTTTATGAAATTCAAGTACATCTTTTCTTCAAACTTTTCTTGTAACTTGAGGCAAAATTCTTTCAATAAGATGGAAAAAGAACATTTATTTAGTTTTGTATTAAAACTCATTTCTACAAACTCGATTTATTTTCTCACTCACTAATCCCTTGGAGATGAAGATGTCAGTGTTAGGATAAAAGGAAAGCTATTTTGTATCTGTTGCTTTGGCTGTTTTACAATTAGACTGCATTGATATTAGTCTTAGCACTTTCTACTAAAGTTTCAACCAAGGTATTGCTAGATGAATCGGAAACTTCCATAAATCAGATTCAACGGTTACAGCAGACTGAGTCTATTTTAATAGCGGAAAAAGTAAAAAAAACACTAAAATTTCCACTTACAGACACTTAAACACAGACAGAGCAGACGAGACATCAGAACTGTCCTGCTGGTATATCTGGCAGTAATAAGACACGACAGAATTTGATTAAAAAACGAAAGTAAACGTAAGGCGTGTTTGCATATATTTTGTGGCGCGTGTGACAAATAAAATATTCAATCAGCGCTAACGAGCGCGACGTGTGTACGTATGCAGTTGCGCACCGGTGCCTAATTGAGGTTTTAATATTGCATGTGTCATTACTGCTCCACAGCAATCACTAGGCGCGCCAAGATGATGACGACCATCAAGACGGCCTGTTTGCCCAAACTCATTTGCGAACTGACGTCTATCGCGCACCAGGATCAGTTGAGCGAAATGGAACGCTCGCTCCTCAACTTAATCAGGTAACATGAATTTTCATTAGAGCACGGTTAATCTTGTGAGCACCACGACGACGAGAACAGACGACAGAGAGACATAGAGAGAGAGAGAGAGAGAGAGAGAGAGAGAGAGAGAGAGAGAGAGAGAGAGAGAGAGAGAGGAAGGAATCTCTTCTTACGTATAATACGTAAGCTTGTGTGACGTCATTTGCTCGTGAGAGTCATTCTAGATTTTTTCATATAGAATAGTCAGATGCTGCTTATTAAAATTCATAGTATTTTAGTCGTCATTAGAAAAAAATATACGTTTTAATTCGGTATGTGTAAACTCTGTTCCGTCTTCACTCACTTCGGAAGAAAAGTCATAATGAAAATGTTAATTTCGACGAATACCGAAATTAGATTTGCGAATGAATACTTAAATCACGTTTTCACCTACTCAGAACTTCAATTAAGTTTTATGCCCCAAAACCGTTAGAAGATAGGCAAGAAGCAAAACTATGACCGCAAATTTTTTTAAATTTCACTTTCTCTTCACATTATTTGCAGATTGCTGCATTCCATATCACCATTGCTTTTAATTTCTGCCTCAAGAACTTTATATTCTTCATTTCAAAGATATATAATAATGTCTATGTCGACCGCGAATTTATCTGCGTTCAAAGTCGTATGAATATTTCTACGTCAGTTTATTCTGAAACAATGCATACATTCTCCACAGAGAATAATGCATTAACTTTACCAGATCTGTTTTTCGATCGCTGGCAAAACAGATGGAAAGCGGCCGCCCCGAAAATTGGATAATTTTAACGCAGAGACGGATAATCGCAATTCTCGGCCACGCAAAATAGTGAAGTTTACGCATTATGCTGCACACATAGCGAGTAACAATAAATTGATGCTCCGAATACATCTTGTTTTGCATGGCATTTTCGTTTGTCATTGAGCCATGCTAAATAATGGCCGAGACTACTCGTCGGCTCTCTATTACTTTTGCAAAAATCGAGCCGAGCGTACGCGCACCCACGATTATTTGACCGACAATCGGCTTTCGTTGCGAGCAGCCGATGATAATGCCATGTTTTTCGCCTAATGAATGGCACATCGATGGTCATTTATTTGCTGAAATGCCAATTGTGATAATTCATCGTTCCACCATGTACTTTGCCAAGTTTTCAATATTATGCTATTGAGTTTATCTGCATCGAGTTTTCAAATTGAAATTTCCATTCCATCTATTCTTGATGTAGTACTAGTAGAAAGAGAAAATTATTTGTAGCTACTATTGATTTTAAAAACAGTGTAAGTCCACGGCGATACGGAAAAATACTGCCTTGAAAAAACAGTGTGATATAACAAGGATATTTTGAAGAAGAAACCGGATTTCACGACAGCTACATTTCCGAGAGACTTCGATTCAAATCTGAATGCTGTTGGTGAAAGTAAAGAGTCGCTGTGATTATGTAAACGCATGACTTCCAAAAATACTCGACACGTACATGTCTTTGGTTGTAGACGAACTCACTTGCGTTTTCTATTGAGAAGATTATTTAATCCTTGGACTTTCTTCGAGTAAAGATGATGCAATTGGCCAGGCTTCTTGACTAACATACCAAGTAGTTGAGCACATTAAATATACCAATTCTCTTCTTCTACTATCAAGCTTAACTTACTTAAAGAATATGAAATGTGTATTAACATTTTTTTCTAAAAAATCATTGTAAAACGTGTATATTGCAGTTGTAAAACAACTGCAATATACACGTAAAAAAATGGTTACGACAGATCGTAAAGATGTGCTGAGTGATGAGAAATGCTTGTGTGGTATTATTCGCTACATGAACGTTTTAAAATAAGTCCATGACAATTTTAAAAGCCAGAAGATAAAAGTATAATACTATGCAATAGTGAGTCAACTCGATATTAGAAAGAGTCTAGAAATAACTTCTAATCAGTTTGAAAAATATAAAACACACATTAAATTTACGCACATAAACTTTAGTAAAATCAACTATTTATTTTTTAACAAGTGAAATGTCTCATTAACTTTAATCACAGAAAACTATTATATTACCGTCACAAAAAACGATCAAGAGTCAGAATCCATCAATCCTGTGATGATAAAAGCATTTTTGCATCACATCGTCTGTAGCAATTTCATCAAGTTCAATCGATTGGGCAGTTTAACTCGAGACGCATCTCTTTATACTCGAATGTTTAATGCTCCGGAAAGTTTTTCGGAGCTTTATATTTACTTTTATGCGGGCGTAAACGCAAGACGCGCGCTTTATTGGAAGGATCTTTCGAAGTCAAAATCGATCAAAATGATAAAAAAAAAGAAGAAGCTAGGAAGACGACGCCTCGTTATATGCATGCACGTACGAGAAAGTCGTAAAGAGTCGTCCCCTAATAGGCGCAACGTCGTGACGGAATCGTTGTCGTCGTCGATTCGTCTTAGTGTACTCTATTTCTTTCTGTTAGTCGTCCATTTTTTTATCTGGTTCGCTTCCTTTAGTTCTTTGCTCGCAGAATATTATGGAGGTTTCGATCTTAACGTGCCAATATGAATTGTACACAACGCACCCCTTAGTATGTATACTTCTGTATGAATGAAAGTACAAATTCAGTTGTTTATACTTTCTGAAAGTTGTGTGAAAGTAAATTAAAATATATGAATGGTTCTTTTTTGCATGAAAAATCGATTGCTTTAATCGCACGAAAAGACTATAATTATTTTGTATCTAACTCAGCCAAGCAGCGGAAATCATTTATTATGATGTTGTTTAACCAAAGTTTACTGAATTTTACAATCGAAAAATGTACAATGAATGAACGATCGTTACATGGACACCGATCACATAATTTACTGAAGTATGGTGAAGCAAAAAAATGATAAATCATCTATTGATTCTTTGAAGAAAACTCTATCGTATGTATCGTATGTATTACACTGAAGTGAGAGAATCACGCAACAGCGCTTTAAACTGGTCGGCATTAAGAAGGAAAGACTCGGCATTAATCGAAGTGCAATTATATCGGGGAGCGCGAAATTATACCGATGGAAAGAAAAAGGAGAACAGACCTTGAGCCGGTTCACCGCGGCGACACATTTGCGCTCACGTACACATGCACATAATGATTCAATATATATATAATGATTAATTTATTGTTTTCAGAGATACGAGTCTGAGTACTATGGCAGAAGTAACATCAAGGTATCATTTTGCGGCGCACATGGGTCAACTGATATCAGGCATCGAGGGCCAGGGATGTCACAATTTTTATCCAACTTGTCCACTTCCTAGTGCCAGCGTCTTAAACATGATGAAGAAACTACGATTTAAGTAATGATAAAATTTTTATTGTTCATCAAGACATCTGGATACTACACGATTATAAGTGACGACTTGAAGATATAAAAAATCGAAGTCAAAAAGAAAAGTCGATAAATATTTAAACTGCGAAGTGAACTGACAAAACATTGCACTATAATGGTTCTTTGTAAACTACATATAAAGCTGTGATAATCGCTTTTCATACCTATTAATTAAGTTTCTGTCCATTTCTTGATATTTTTTATCGTTAAATTTACTGTAAAGCGTAGAAAATACTGATGTGTACATAAGTAGCGATACGTCATGTTTGTAAATGTCAAGATTACTTGTAACAACTTATACGTTAATTTTATCTCCGCTGCTAACTCTTATACTAGTCGAAGTATTGTTTACAATATTAAGAAGTACTAATTCCTTCGATTTTATAATTTCCATTTAATGCATAGCGACTAGATTAATAAGACTCACTATGTATTAATTAAATAAAATTGTTAGATAATGCAAATTAACGATTTTTTCTACTGTTATTCTTCAGCAAATGTTTCTCAATCTTAAATTTAAAAAGTTTTTGCATTTACATTATATCGATGGATTGTACTTGAAAATAATAGGCATTAAAATTGTTTCATTTACCATATTTTTATTTCAATATACTCGTTGATTTTAATATATTTTACGAGAATTGTACTTTACTTATTAATTTTATTAAAAAACGATAACTTAAAAAAATGTGTACAACCACCGTGACACAATTAAAATGTAAATATTAAAATGCACAGGTATCAAAAGAACTGCTTGTTTATTTTTAGTTAAATTAATTAACATACATTGATTAATAATCGATAACTACTATACAGTAAATATAAGCTTATTTTATCTAAATATATCAATTCATTAAACTAAGACCCAGTTGTTACTCGTAAATTATACATCCCTTACAATTCTTTATATTGTTTTATTAATAAATGGATAATGTTATTTGTCTTATAATTTACTCTGATCAAATGTATTTTCGAATTTACTCTGTGAAGAAATGTGTTAGTTATTTTAATAAAATTAATATTCTATTAAATTGAGATGAAAAATTAATATTTCATTTGATAGACATATATGCATTTAAATTTATTTTCAAAAGCTGAAGTAACCCTCATAATTTTTATTTTATGGAAATAAAATTGACTGCCAATTGTTCAAATAAACTGGAATTATTGTCTAAAAGTATAGTTAATTTTTCTATATTTTGAGATTCTGATAAATATGCAGACATAATGAACGAAGATTATATCAAATTTATAAATATTCAATACCTTAGTACTTTTAACAGAATACGTAAATTGCAGTTATTGAAAATATTTTGAGTGAACAAAATCATTAAAAACATTTTTAAGCAGTAGTCTGAAATAGAAAATGATTAAATTTTCAATGCACAAGGTGTTAGAATGTACGCATTGAAAATAAAATTATCAATACATGCTGATACTACCAATAAACTATGATCAATTTGAAATTGCGTCAAGCAAACTTTAAAGGTCTACAGATAAATCATTATAATAATGTACCAATAGAAATATTGTATCAAAATTGAAAAAAAGAACTCATGCAATTTGTACAATAATACGTTTTGAAATTTGATAAAAATGCATAAAATAAATATAAAAGTATGTGTATTCCTTCATATTGCAAATTACAAAAGTACACAAACTAAAAATAAATGTTAGAAATTATCATTATAAAATCCAAAGTATTTATCAATCAGAATTTCACAAAATTGATATGTATGCTAGTTAGCACGTACATCGTACTTGAAAGCTATTGATGATGATCGACCTTGTTGGTTAGGCACGTAGAGGCTCTTTCAACATAACGAAACAATCGCTGGTTAAGTCGCAATGCATATACACAGGTATGGTGGTAGTGGCACACGCGATATTGGTTTCGCAAGCCCCAAGACACACTAGCTGATTCGGAGAGGGGCACACTACGACTTTCTCCGACTTTAGTGCAGAGCTTGCCCGGCTATCGCCATTCGGCGTTCAGTTTTTATCACCTGCGGAGGTCGGTCCATCTTAACTCTGCTGTGTCTTCTAAATTCATCACAAATTTGTTCAATATTTATTCATCGAGTGGTGAGTATACAATATTAAGCCTCAACAATTGTTCGGCAAAAGACATTCACTTTTACATTGCATCGTCAGAAAAGAGAGTACAAGTGCGAGTAAGAGTCAAGTTTACTTTCTGCGATTATATAACGGAAAAAGGAAGTCGAAAGTGTCTTCGGCGAGGCGTTCAGCTGCTGACGGAGAGCCGCTTCGGGATATCCCGCGTGTGCGTTCTTGACTCTCTAGCCACGTGTTCGCTTTTCGCTAAACTGCATATTTCCGAAATTAATATTGTTTATTGATCGCTGTGTAAGTGGCGATCAGTGCTTCGTACAATCACCTAGCTGTACTTGATTAACTCAAGCGGGGTCGCTAAATATGTAAAACCAGTAGTCTTTGCGAGCCAACAATTTTTGGATTATGAAAATATTAGGAATCGAATTAAAATTTCAAGCAAGTTTTATTCTTCTCAAACTACAATGGTTAACTTCAATACTTTTAGTTTTATTTCGACTTACTCGGGTTAATATATTTGTTTGAAAATCATCAACATGAGACTCCTAACATTCTTCAATTCAAATAGCACTATGTTGATCTGTTTTGGAATTAACTTTAAGTAAAAATTAAACAAACGCAATTGCAATAATTTTCTTTCAATTAGATTGTATCATTTCCAGTTTAAGAAACTTGCATCAATAAATTTTTCACGCTATTTTAAATTTAGACATTGTAATTTCATGAACAGCACATCATTCAAACTGCTGTTACATTGTTTTCATCATTATCTCAAAGCCGTAAAAATAATTAAGAATACAGGAATTTTTCAAATGTGACCATGAAACATTTCGAGATAAAATAGTGAAGAAACGTGTCGATAAGAATAAAACTACGTAAAAGTGGAAACAAAAAAAGGAGGCAGAGCAAAAAAGGCAGAAAATAAGAGAGAAAAAGGACTAGCCTTTATCTGTGGAATTCCGATGCTACTTACTTGTGTAACAGTTGGAACTCTATGGCTGATAAGAAGTTTCAACGCGAAAAACAATTGGAGCTTAGGAAGATTAGCCCGTCATTTTCGACAGGAGCCTGTCCCATTAAACATCATCTTCTGAGCTAAGTACAAGTTACAGTTAGCAGACGCATTCAGATAAAGAGGCACTTGGAGGGATCGCTTCGTCTGCTGTCAGGATTGATCATCGAGTTGTTGCATTATTTTTGGATTCAATTGTTAGATCTGCAGCCACTCATCTCTCTAGCTCTTTGTTAATCTTTCAAGTGCATTTGTCATTGTCGTATTAATTGCTGTCACTAATAATAGTAATTAAATGTTATTGTACAGTACTTTGTGCGATTGTGCAAAGATTCAATAAATATTTATGTTGCGTATAATTATCAAGACATTATCAGTATATTTTTTAGTTCGTTATTATTGTCATGGTTGAAAAATAAGTGATCGTTGATAGCATTTTAATTTTCATCATTAATCAATACAAGAAAAAGAAATAAGATTGCAATGAGAGTGTATATCATTTTTTCAGATTTGAAAAAGAATGCAGCTAATAAGGGTATCAATGATCCTCGCGTGTTGTTTTTTTATTTTGAGTACCGTGTCGACAGCACCATCACCGCAATCCGAAGAACCCTTCTTCGAATTACCCGTTCAGCTGGTAGGTTTCCCAGTGATCATTGCAGCAGTACGCATCACCAATTTCGTGAAAAAACTAGCATACTCACTAAATCCACGTAAGTTAAAATTCTGTGCATGTACATGAATGCATTATGAAATAGTGAAAGTATTTCGATGAACATTGACAAACTTTAAATAGCGCGACAGTTGCCTTTTGAAGTCTGATAATGCCATTTGGAATGTGTTACAATATTGATTGATGGCTTAATCGTTTGAATGTTCATAGGAAACGGAAACGGCAATTGAAAGTGTAAAAAAAATTGAGGTGTATAGTGTGTTATTAAAAATCACGTTAACAAGCCTAGAGAACACATTCTAGTAAGTTCTCTTCTCGAAACTAACAAGGAAGTCGTGAGTTCCGTTAGTTCGCGTGTGGCATTCAGGTTGTAAGAGCGCGGCGCGCACCTATATGCGTACGCGCAAAACCTGGCATCCAGCAAAGCGAAAGCGAAAGTGTTCCACTTGCTGTCGACCTCTCGTAAACTAGACACGTGTAACAGCTTTGTAACAAGTTACTCATTTGATGCGACCTTCCTCTTCAGTGAATTCTACTAATTAGCGAAAGGTCACTGACGTGTAATACTGTTAGGAGTAATATTGATATATGTATATCGATTTCACAACGAAATCGCTTGTATGGGTTGGGTTACGAAAAAAAATTGGCTTAATAATAAAACCGTTTTGCAGTAGTATGTATTTATGAAAGTCTTTTTTTTTTCAGAAACCTACAAGAGTCGTACGAAGAGGACTTTGCCGAGACTACACGATGAGGAAATACTCGATGTCGATACTGTTGAAAAGAAGTTGGTAGCTGAACTTGGAGAAAATGTTTGCCTCTATGAGAGAATTTGTGCTAAATACGCTGAGACAACTCTTCAAAGAAGAAGCCGCGCTCGTGCACTTGAATGGGACCTGATATTCGGGTAAATATTTTAGTATTTAATTTTCTCCTGAGCCGAGAGTTTCCAGTGAAATGTTCAAAGTGTCATTGCTGCACAGCACAATCGCGGCAATTCTAGATTTAGAAGGTTTAAAATGATTAATTGCGGCATAACGACTTCCACGAAAGCGAATATACTCCGGCGAGTACTTTGGAAGAAGAGGTAAATGAGTATTTAATCGCCACCCCCATGGGACTCGATCGCAACGAGTTCAACAAAGTCAAATAAGCACTAGTTTGTCGCAAATTATATTGTAAGGAGAAAAAAATCTAGAAAAAAAATGAAGGAAAGAGAAAGGGATCAATTAGCGAGAGCGAAATTGGCCATTGGTCAAATGAAGCGTAAAACTGCGCGCGCTCTCTTTCATCGATAATTCCGTCGCAAAGTCTCAATTGCTTCGAGAAGTCGTTGTCTCCGAGGAAACCAGTAACCGACGAGCTCGACGCAGCGATAGGTCAATGTTTCTTACGGCACACAGAGGCGCGCGCCACATACAGCAAACGACGAAAGCCGCAAACTCGTCGCTATCCATTTAAAAAAAGAGCTCTTGGCTGAGGGGAGCACGCCTCTCTGACAGGTAGACACAGCGCATGTGGATAAAAAAAATCATCGCGAAAAAAAAACAATCACGAGAGCGCGCGAAAGGCACAATGAGTATGGCCTTTTGTCTCGGAGAATCGCGCAAATTGAATCGACTGTCAGAGCGAGATTAATCATAATAATGTGCTTTTAATTGAGAATTTTTGCGGTGTTTCCGCACTCGAGCGCTGGCGCGATAGCTATCACGCCTCTACACGTCGCTCCGATCGCAGATAAGCATTTCCACCTTGGTGTCATTTTACGTGGCAGCTCATTTTTACGCGACGAATATGCTTTCGGAATATCAGCACTTAACAACTGATCATTCAAAGTCATTTATGAAACTGATAATTTCGGCCGGTGCGTAGAGCAATAGCTTTATGGAAGGAATGGGCTTGCTTAGAATGCTTGCATCGATTCTCGGAGAAGGAGGGAAAAAAATATCCGACCCGGAATTCACGTGAACAAGGAGACGCATGGCCGAGCGCATCTACGGAATAAAGAAAACCGTTGCAAAGCAATCGGAATGCATTAGAGGGAGTTTGCGCGCTGCCATTAAGGTTTATCTGTTTCTGGCGTTACTTACAACAGAATTTAATGCGACTATATAGCCCCTGCGCCGAATAGAAATAGTGGACTTGGCGCGTGATCGGGCGCCCTATTACCAATCCCGAAATCGCTTTCCAACGAGGGGCGCCACTTTGTTCTTCGAGATTTACTAGGTAGACTCTCACTCTCTCTCTCTCTCTCTCTCTCTCTCTCTCTCTCTCTCTCTCTCTCTCTCTCTCGCGCGCGCGTCTCGCGTATACCGTTAATGCTTCGTGCCCTCTTCTTTCTTCTCTTCTACTTTATGCTCAGGCTGATCGCACGTGCTCTCTGCTTGGACAGCACTGATGAATTTGCGGATGACTATCGGTGTTTTGATTTTGAGTGGCTTATGAAACTTTAATATATGGTTATTGTTATCGTTTCAAGTTCGTTTGCTTAATGTTTTTTCATTAAAGATTTACATAGGGGAGTACCAGTTTCAAAATGATTATGTAACTTCTTGGAATAACTAAGTATTGCTTGTTTTCTTAATTTCAATCTATCCATTCAATCTCAATGGACATTCATGAGCGTTCAAGTCATCAGAAAATACAATCCCACGAGAATACCCAAATTCCTTGTTCAAACTAATGCATTGCGGGATTACTCTGTTAATGTGTTTCAGTGAATATAAATCTTCACCGGATATCATGAAGGAGAACTACCTATTGAGCGTATTCCTGGGCGACATCATCGGCAGTCCACGGCTTTGTCATCAGCTGGCGAAACGCGGAAGAGAATGCAGCATTCCTTTGTCAGATTGATTGCATGCCCTACGCAAGTCTTTAATCAAAGATAAATTTATATACTTCAATTCGCAGAATCTTACGTTGTTAGTTCAGAATTTTACAAAAGAATAGAATTCATCCAGCGACTTGCTGTGCTGATATAAACATTTTTGGTTTTCGTGCTATGATTTATTTTCAAAAATAAAAGTTTTATTGTATCATTTGGCGTTCTTTTTACAATGTTATATATTATATGCGAACGTACAAGAGAAATTTCATGAAAATCTAAAATGAGCACAAAGCCATTCGTTTCCGAGTTAACAAAACAGAGTAAAGTCGCGTGCAAACACTGTAAATACAGAGTATAAGTCTTATAGAATAAATGACTGTAGTTGAAATAAAAAAACAATGCGCGTCGAAGGAAACGTTTGTATTTACTACTCACATAAGCAGACCTCGACCTATGCGCTCATGAAAGCTTTCTCCTCGAGAATGAAGTAATCGCTCGCTCATCTCTTTCTCTCGAAGTAGAGTTTTTGCAGTAGCAGCATGACACACGACGCGTCATGCTTTTTATTAGCTGCGCGACAAACGTCAATTGACGATAATTGATTGCAAAGATGCTACCGTGATTATGATAATTACTGTTGAGGTCACTGCGCTATCTTTTTTAAAACTCTTCTTTTTCTTTTGCTTTTCGAAGTTACGTTTACATTTATATGTAGGCGCTGAGAGAGTAACTATCCGTTGCGAGACAATGATTAATTGCGATTTTCATGCATAAATATGGATGTGTCTGTGGATGCTGTAGCATAGTTTTTCAGTTTTTAAGAAGTCGCGCGCGCGGTTGACGTTTGCGTTCTTGATGAATGCGCGGTACAGTGATTAATGCTCAGCTCGATGAAATACCATAAAAATGAATGGATGTTCGCGCGCAAGAATTCGCGAGTGAGCTAACATGATGAACAATGCACTATAAAATATATGACAGTAAATTTAGGTACAAATTTTTGAATTTGTTTATTCTTCTTTCCTTATTTTGTTTACTAGTGTAATAGTATAAAGATTGTAGTTTTGAAATGTTGAGACGGAAAATAAATAAATGACAAAATAAAAGGACTGATTTGTTGTGTACACTCTTAAATTTATTTACGTAATTGTATAATCTATTAGTAGATGTGAGTAGTATTATAGTCCAGAGCAATTTAATGTAAGTGTTATATTCCCTTCCGAAATCATAAAAACCATCAACTATTTACACAACTTTCTTTGTGCACTATTAATAAAAGTAATTTTCTTTAGACGATAATCATTTTTTCTTCCCTAAAAACTTCTTAAACTACCCAGTGTATAACACACAATTGTAATGGTATTACATTAGTCGCTTTTTCGTAATAGCAGGGTAATTTGCAGCTTATTACACTTAGCAAAGTAAACCTAAATAATAATTGGTTCCATCAACTTCCTTTCATGCGTCAATATAATCTATTCTGAATTGTCTCGTGTGCTTTTTTCTGCTTATTCTCTTCATAATATTTCTGAATCGATAGACAATTCACATAACAATGTAATATTATAAGGATATTAGTTTAGATAATGGATGACAGAATGTAAACCAATTAAATAATACATTAATCAGTAATGTACTATAACCAACAAAGCTGATATATCAGAATAAAAGGTTAATTTAATTTGTCAAAAATTTAAAAATCATTCGCAAAAGTGCTGGATTACAATGATATATTCCAATAGCTTTTCGTTCACCTTAAGTACGAAATACAAAATTCTAGAAATATTAAAGCTTTCGCTAATTTTTAGAGGTAAGTTCTCTCAACTTCTTAAGTAAAAAAATATCTGAAAAAAAAAATCGATCATGAACCGAATGAAGGAATTTCTGCCGATGTTGGAGAACAACCGTGCTGTTTTCATGAGAAATCTCGAAACAATAATTTCGCTCTAGTAAGTTTAGCCAATATGACTTTAGAAAGTCGACTATTTTACATGTGAAATTCAGATTTCCTGACATAACATACTTTTCACTTGTACATACATTCGTTGCTGTCGGTGTTAATTCACTCGTTTCATTCTCAAATATCCGCACACATTCCGGTAGATACGCGGGTGGGCGTATAGTTCGACGATCAACTTGTGGCGCTTTTTAACGAAGATGAACCGCAAAGACGTACCAAGTTAGACGCGTCAACTTGATATTCAAGGAAGTAGAAATATCAAGTTTCACTTTTACGAATAGCATGGTTATTAACAGCTGGCAATAATATTTGCATCTTCAATTTCACTATTAAAATAATGGCACCTCGCATCTATCTTGCGTGAGGCTGTAAATTGTCCGTTAATAATTGAGTAAACAAGAACAAAAGCTTCGGCTGACTACATTGGTCTGTCAATTTCTAAACAATTGCTCAATCAATTTGATGTTCTAGTCGATTTCACAGTATATGTATAATAATTGCTCGGCTGTACACGTAGAAGACCTGAAACGTATCGCGTCTGGCTGACTGTGTATGTAGGTCCCGCAGCCAATAGTAAAGCAAGTGAGAGAGAGTTGTAAACGGTGACGTTCGACCGGCCCACACGCGGCTTTCTTTCTTGCTCGCGCGCGGGGCCTTACACCAGTTTCGAGGAAACCTCCAGTTAGTACGGACTATCTCTCGTCTACTGCTGCTATGATAATTGAAATTGTTTTGTGATTGGTGGGTGCGTGTATTCGTTTGTGCGTTATTGATGTAAATATGATATATTATTGCGGTGTGCGCGTATCCGCATAATAGATTGCAATTTGGATGAGTGATCAATGGCATTTATATTGAATGACCGCACTAACGTATTTATCTATAATAGTCATTTGGAATGTAGTACTTTGTTGAAAGATCGCAGAATCTGGAATATTGGATGCTGTAAATGAATTTGCTCTTCTATTAGCGAATAATTTGCGGCGTTTTACTATGAGCATTGATCGACGCACTGACCAATTACAATTCATGCTTGAAATTGTCTACCGCTAGAAACTGATCGCCACTCAGTGTGCTGACCTTAGTTATATGCTAAACCATGGACCTCGCTTATTCACTAACATTTAAATACTCATTCATTCATTTATTCAATTAGCCTGATATATATTATTGTTCAACATAAGCACTTTCTGAATCAAATCATTTTTTTTTAAATCTTCATCAAATTCATTTACCTTCCAGAAAAGCTAGAGCAGCAAGTGACTTGCGGCGAAACAATCAGCCGCGCCAGATCTAGCGCTCACGTACGCGCAAAAAGCGCGCCGAATTCTATCGACTAGTACTCGCTATCGTTTATCCGATAGTGGTACGTTTGTCCGCGGGAGAGCTCGTAAACACGTAATTAGCTAAATTATTCAGCGTGGCTACTTTATATACGCAGCTCGTCAGTAGTATCAGCTTTACGGTCGGATAACGAGCGCTTATTAGAGACTGATTTGGCAAAGCTCCCTGCTCGCCCCGGTTTCGATGACAGCCCCTTGTCGCATGGAAAATCAGCTGAAAACTATGTAAATCGAAAACCACCAAAGCTCTCCACTATACTCTCTCGTTGAGCGTTAACGCCAACAAACCATGGCTCGATCCAGCGTGAATTTTCCATTGATTTTGTCTGTACTGTTGCTGCTGCCATTTCGCGTTGTTTCTGCGGTTCATTCCAGAGAATCCACCGATGTATCCCCACAACTCTGCATCTTTGACGAGGATAATCGAACCTATAATGCTACGGATCTTCTTCTGTGAGTAATCTTACTTTCTTATTGTGGCTTGTTTTTTCTTTTTTGTCTTTGTTTTCCTTCTTTTCCTTTGAGTATACTGCTATTTTTACTAGAAAATGGAGTTAGTGTGTCGGCCTAATTAGATTATTAAAAGAAAGCGTGGAAATAAAGTTAGTGAATAGATTAATCGTATCTATTGGATTTTAATCGTTTGTTAATTACGCTAAACAGTATCTTATTGTGGTTTTCCTCTCGATCGTGCTGCAGCCAGTCTGATTCTTAAAATGTAATTGTTTTACTATCATGTTCGCTCAGTTATTTTCCAGTTATTTATTATTAGGTGCCTGAACGAGCAAGCCCGGAATATAGTGTTTCATCAAAACACAAACTCGACTAGAATAACAGATCGCGCATATCAAGATGCGAGGCAATCGTATTCTGCATACCCATTCGCTCCAGCTTATTCGATACCAGCGGCCTCTGCGGTGGCGGCGACCTCTCCACCGACCTATTTTGGCAGTGAAATGGCAAATTCGAATATTAACTTCACATCCGACTAATGCGCGCATCATTAATACTTATATTCTTCTTCAATTTTACAGTTATCGCAATTGTTATCCGGTAGATTTAAACTTTCGAGTTTATCGAATTTCTTGGACTTTAGTGGTCTAACTAGACCTGGCTTTAAGTTTTTCAAAGCTTTATCATCGATCGCCCAGTATGACGACTTAAAATGCGTCCCGCGGATTCTTTGTGAAGTGGCAAGTGGTTCAATGCCCGGAAGCCTTACTTATAGGCCAAGCTCCGATTTTCAAAACTTCGGCATCGGCAGTAGTATTCTGTCTGGCAGTAATGTTCTTTTCGGGTAAGTTTATGTTAATGAAACTATTAAAACACTTTCAAAAGGATATTGAAACATGGAAAGCTTCACTTTCGAAATGTATTTGAATGACGATCACTCGAAAATATCGAATGTTGCAGAACTATATCTAAAAAATGATTTCATTTGACTTGTTATATTGACTCACTTTTCAAACGAGGCTCTGGTGACGTTTCACTTTCAGGCTACTCACTGCCTTTGACACAAGTGGAACATCTCCAATTTTGAGTTTCGGGAGAGCGGCGTTGCTAGGATACACCAATAGAGGACAGCCACATATATGTTATAGAGAGTACTCCAGATGCCCACAAGATTCTCATCAGCTCATTTCGTACTTGAATAATTATCACGGTGGATTCTTTCAATTTTTTAACGGTAATACAGGTGCTTATTATCCGCAACAGCAGTATAATTATAGACCACGAAATTACTATAAAAATTCTAATGGTAAGTGTAAATCTTCAAACAATTTTGTCATAATATAATGTATGTATAATTTACCTACTTTCCTTACTCTTTAAAATTTCAATACGGAATAGTAAAAAAACAGCAATTTCCCGCATCTCAGATATTTTCGGAAGCCGGTGCGGAACAGGATGGATCAGAATCACTTCAATTTGACAATTTAAATTATTACCATCAGCAAAGCAGTAAACCAGACTTTTTTACGATGCAAGTTAGAGAAAATGGACCTAGTAAAGTGTTATTTCCTAAAGACAAAAGAGAGAATCGATTTTTATCGAATTATTTTAATAGACAATCGGTCGATTCTCTTAACCGCTTGACTTCCTACAATTTTCAAAAAAAGTCAATACGTAAAGATCGAAAGCTTCTACCTGTAGTGAGTATTTTCATTACTGAAGTTAAATACAGTTAAATTGCAATTTCGAAACCGCCTATCTTTTTTATTACAGGCTAGCGATAATTACGGAGATTATCCAATTACTGCGAATCAAATAGATGAGAATCGTATGCTACGAGTTAAAAAGTTGGAAAATGAAGTTAGTTTTGTACGATTTCCACGTGACGCTGTTAACAAAGTAGAGGTGCCTTTTTTTCTTTCTAAATAATTACAGGAATCAGTACTCAGACTGCTAATGTAGCAGTACATAATAATGATAATACTGGTGTTTTCCAAATGAAAACAATTTTTCTTATTTTATCTGGAGACTAAAGCGTATTATTTATTAACCTCTTTAATATAATCTGTATTTGACTTTATTGTTGTTCAAATTTTCCAATGTAGATTGGTAATCCACAACTGTTATTTATTTTAATAAATTTGAAGTATCGGACCAAACCCTTCAAATACATTTACTTCCTCACGAATCGAAATAGATTTTTGTTCAGGGCAGTCTATTCAACAAGAACCTGAGAAAATGTGTATCTCTTAATGCCATCAGAATCGATTCAGCGCCTCGTCCAATGGCAAGCCATCGTATTTGTTGTGCGTACGTAAGCTGATCGAACTGATGGGATTATGGATTGACGAAACAGAAAAGGGACTTATTTCACACGATCTCAATTTACTTTCGTCAATGGGCACACTATTATAATATAATAATAAGAAAAAAGTCAGTCGGTAAATAAAAACGTATCAGATATTTTGTGAATGATCAATGCGTGTTCGAATATGTCTCAAGATACAAGCGTTGCTTTCATTTCTCGTAATTCACTTTTGTAGCCTCTAAGACCCATTTAAACTCGAAGAATCTCATCATCCGCTAAATTCTCCGAAATGGCGAACGTGGAGCACACAACCGCACGCGAGAATATGAAACGATAGGTCCGAAATCCCAGGAGTTGGGTCTAGAAACACGTACAGCCGAAAGCTCATGATAATCCACAGAGCATTGCTCTTGCGGACCGCGTCATAATAACAGCAGCAGCCTCTTGTCCGCGCGCTAGCGTATATTGCATTAATCTAGAACAGTCGAGAGAGCCGCGCGCGATCCGATGACGCGTGACACTTGATAGTGTATAATACGTGCGTCGAAGAGATATAGATATATCTATGTGGACGGTTAATTGTCTTCTGCTGTCAGTTGCAACCCCCTACTTGGCTCTGTCTATTCCACACACACACGCGCGCGCGCGCACACCCACTCGCACAGCCACGCACCCACGCACACACGCACATTCAGAGCGAGCCCCGCGGCTTATTTCGCTTTCGCCCCAAACTCTCAGGGCCCCGAATTATACGCCAGAAAGGATAAAATAATTACACGAGAGACGTCCTTTCACCTTTCGCCTATTATCCAAGGGGATGTTTGAACAGTGTCATCTGCAAATTAACTGCGCTGACCTTTCGTTTTACACGCGATCGTCTATTTGTTTTGTTCCAATTCTTTTTTCGCGCGGCAAGGATCAATTACGATTTTTGGGAACGTATATGTACCCTGGAGACGATGCACGCTCGTGCATTAGGCCTCTATTCAACGGTTGCACTGCTGCACGATGGGCAAAAGGTAGTTTCGAGTGGTGTGAATGACACCATACTTTTTATTGTGTTATAAATGTCATTGGAACAGAAAGGGGAAGGGCTCGTGTCCATGGAATATTTAATTTAGCATCGAACGAGCTTAACTAATCCGTTGTATTCTGAGTACGTTACTCAGCAGTTTGCTTTATTCGGAGAGGAAGTCATCGATTTATTCAATTTTTACCTGTCACTGCTTCTTTGTTGCGGTCATTCAGAGTTTGCTACATTGCAATTTTCTGCATAACATTCATCCCTTGACATTTTCACTAGAAACCTTTTACAAAATAGCAGAAAAACAGCATCCTCTGAGAATCGAACGATCGGTAAAAAAGAAAGAATTCCAGTGAGAAAATTCCGGGAGGTTCGTTCGCGGGAGGAAAACAAACTAGAACGCCGATGACGCCAGAGAGAAGTAGAAGAATTTATGAGGGATCCAGATAGTTAATAGTGATTCCTTGACGAACGGCCTTGCGGAACTAGCAAGACATTCCACGGCAAAGATCGCAGGCGTGCGCGCACCTTTGACTCCGAAGCGCGGAAATTAACGCCCTTTGTCTCTCTCTCTCTCTCTCTCTCTCTCTCTCTCTTAAGTTCTAAGGAATTTCCTACAAAGCGACTCTAGGAAAGAGAGAGATTAACTGTAACTGCACCCGCGCGCGGATCCGTGCTATATCGATAAAACTCGCCTCTCGCACGATCTTTAATTGCGAATAAATATCTTTGTCGTGAATTTTTTAATTGCCGTAACAGGATTGGTATGGGCATCTTGTTTGGATTTTATAAGCGCTGTGGCAATTAGTATTCTAGAGAAATGGTAGAATGTGCGCTTGGTAGAATAGTTTCGATGAAGGGGTTTGTGAATGGAAAAGCCATTTGAACAATCGCTTCCGGTTTCAAAATAGATTTACGTAGTACCGTTTTTATCATCTTTGTGTGAACAGGATGAAAAATTTATTCTTGTTAATTTGACATTTTCTATTGTGTACATGAGAAATTTTTTGAAACATGAACATGAACAAAATTCTGATATAATTTATACATTTTGAGAGCTACGATCAAATGCAGGTACGAAAAAAAATTATCCTTCCGGTAATTTTTAACGAATTTTATGCCAATTAGGTATAAGGAGTATTTACACAGTCTGTAATTGTCAGAATCGCTGGCATTATAAGATCTTCCGGAATATCTGGTATGGCAATCACTAGCGTGAAATCGCTGAATTTTTCGAAGGTCTTTGACAGTAAAACGAGAAAAGAAAAAAAGAATTGAATACCGTCCTCGCCTTCATTGTGTACAAGTGCGCGCGAGCAAGTGTATGAGTAATCTTTTGCATTCGCATGAAGTTCGTCAAGCGTTAAGTATAAAATAATGGAAGCAAGCGACGAAAATACACGCATGCACGAGAATACATTTTTATCTGCTAAATGCGTTATAAGAAATACATTGTGCGGACCAGTGAACGGAAGTTCATTGTTGCAACTTGAAATATGTAACCGTTTCATCTTTAAATATACTGATTTTCATCTTTGTTCGTGTAAAATGATGTGTTAGCATACTTAAGATGTAACACTAATTTTTGAATAACTGTTATTTGGTGGTCATTAATATTTCATTTTTCGAAGCTTTTTACGCATAAAAACAATACGAAAAACTTGATAACCCAATGCAAATGAAACAGTCATTATTTATTGAAAACTTGACTGAGAAATATTTTCATATTTTCACTACTTTGAATGAACGTGAAAAAGAGAAATCATAAAATATGACGGCAATTTGAGAAAACTACTTTCACAACAAAGCTCCTGGACATAAAACGAACAAAATATCGCTTTACACTTTCGCCGAAATAAAAATTTCGCGTCCACGCATACAGTATAATTCAACTTGGCAATTGTGCAATTGTCGCGGCGACGAAACAAGGGCGTGTAGTATCGCGCAAAATGAACAGCGCATAAGAACAAACGATACGAGAGCGCCGTGTGCGATATGAAAGCTTTCGCGCTTCAATATGAATAATCTTATTCTATTAGAGCGCGCGCGGCTCGCCGCGACGCATTATTTTCCTACATCAAAGAGGATTGCGCATTGTATTGCCCGCGATAATTCCTCGTTATTAGGAGAGAGAGAGAGAGAGAGAGAGAGAGAGAGAGAGAGAGAGAGAGAGAGAGAGAGAGGCGCCGGTTTCATGCCAGCTTTACCACACCCCCGATGCGACAAATCCGCTCGAATTGGCGACGTCGACGACGATGCAAAAGAAGCCCACGGAGGAGGTCCCGCTCCCCATTCTCCCTTACGCTATGGAAAAAATAAAAATGAGGGGGCCGATCGAGGGAAAAGGCTGTCGCGACTTAATCCGCTCGCCATGAAAAATGTCGCTCAGGTGAAACGGCCGAGGGTGAGCTCGCGGTAAATTATTGCGGTTAATAAGAAAAAGAGATGATCTGCCTGGCTGCCTGCCTGTCAGTTATTTTCGTTCCTTCCTTCTTTACTTTTCTCCGCAGCACGCTGATCGCACAAATTGTTCTATCAGCAGTAATGACATATTTTTTGAAGCTCAGCTTTTACAAATTAAACTTCAACTCGACATTCCACGAGACATTTTTTGTGATTCGTAGTAATTTACAAGAAGTGTTCACATTGAAGAGCACAAGATCTGCATCGGTAAAACAGGTGTAAAGCACTGTGATGCACGACAGCGTATTAAACGCACGTTCATAGAGGTGACAGAACAGTCTACACGATTCTACGGCATTATCACGCATTGTGGGCACAAGACACACGCGAACAAAATCACGGTAGGATGTGCGTAACACACACAGGGTTACCGAGGGGATAATCTTACCGAGGGGACACCTAAGAGATTCTCACTTGCAAACAGATATTGGGGCGTTACATTATTATGTGTGGACGTGAAGCGACTTTTTATTTGGCTCCATATTTCAGCTGGCGTATTTCTCTTTCAAGCAAATAACGAGGAGAGGGGAATGGAAATGTGGTTTTTGAAACAAATTAATTTATTGGCCGAATGTCCCCAACTAATGAAATTAGAAAAGGATATTTTTCGTCATCGCCTATTTGCGTGCACCCTCGAGTCCGCAAGGATAAAGATTTAATTTTTCCTTAAGCTTAGGGTGGATCCACCTGTTAAAAGTACTAATAGGATAATGATGACAAATGATTTCGTTTATAATAAAGTTATCACTTGGCTTAAGCCTCAGCTGTCACATTTATTTTACGGCTAGAGAACTTGAATGATATAATTGATCTTTCAACTGGTTTTATTTGATTAAAACTGTAATGTCAAACCCGAATGTCTGCTTGGATCTAAATTGAATTTAATATCTCGGTGAGCAGCGTTCACGCCTCATAATTTTCTCATCTGACGAAGAAAGAAATCACGCAGACCCGTCCGAGTCCATTGAAAAATCCGACCACACGTCTTATAGCTGATCCATCTTCTGCTTTGAAAGCTTTCCCATTGTCATCGCGGCATAGAACGCGCGCGTTTGATCGACAGAAGCTGACGAAAAAAAGAACCGCTCCCGTTTTTCAATTTCGCAAGTATCAACTTTCGCGTATCTTTGCAAGCTGACCGCGCTAAATCGTCCATAAATAACGCATTAGACACCGCCACGTGTCGCGGATCAATCGGTCGCGTGGCTGTATTTTCGTATCATCGCCGGCGGGCAGGGATTTCGTGCTTTTCTTTTTCCTTTTCTTTTTTTTGCACAGTGGCCACAAAGCTTCCGCGACGTTGCGCATGGGACCTGTCGAGGATTTTGCGCGCGCGCTTTTTTTGTTAAAACCGATCGAGTGACGCCGACAGTAGCGGGGCGTGACATAGCCTATGGGAGGGCGTGTGTTCGTGTGAAATTTTAATCTGCTTTGGCTCGTTTAAAATTCAAATAAAGCTTTTTTCGGAGAGAGACAGCAGAGCCCGCGCAGATATACGGATAGACGCACGCGTGGATCTCTGCCGCGCCATTCGCTTGGCGAGTAAATATTTTAATCGCTCGCGCGCGTTTCTGCGTTTATGTGCGCCAGCTAAAAACCGTGGCCGTCACGAAGTATGCA